AAAAAAAACGAGCTACGAGCTGGATTAGAGGCAGAGTCCAGTGCGTTATGATAGACGAAGAAGTTTTGCATTTGTCCTTTATATGCGGACAAACAAGACTACGACTATCTCATTCCAAGTCAGTTTTTAATATGGGCTATCTCGTCTGGTGCGGGTGATGGTTCACGGTGTGCTTACCAAGATCAAACAACAAGTTGTTTTGTTGTTAGGTATTTTAAAGTCAGTTTATTCAATGAATCTATGAATTTAGAAGTTATAATATAATCAACAAAAATGATTTGTGAGGTTCAGAACGTTTGTAATGATATAATCAAGAACTTCAGAACTGTTGCAATGATTCTTTTAGACTTTTTGCCAATAATTATTTGATTGATTCAGATGGCCACTCTGGACTGGCCATCCATCTAATAATGACGATTTATTTTGCTGAATAAGTGTAAACGGTTATCTCCTCGTAAAACTGAATGTGTCCTACGGCCATCATTATCGTCGACATTGCCACTGCTGTTCTATTACTGTGATAAATTGGCTGTCTGCTGCCAAAGTTCCTACTCATATCGAGTTGTAACGCGTTAGATGCAAGTATTGCCATGGCCAAATTTTTATTTTCTATGAAGCATATTTTAAACATATTCAATGAAGAACATTACAAAAATTTCCTTCGGTATATCTATTTTGAAAAATTCAAAACAAATATCAAACAAATATAAAGCACTTTCAAAACAAATATTATATAATCAATGAAGTTCGAATCATCGAAATTTTCAAAAATCAAATAGATGCGACTACTAACTAGTCTTAGGGATTATGATCCGATGAGTTTTGCTTCAGTATATCGAATATCACAGTGCGGTAAAGACTTCGTCAACATCCGTAAAACACCATTCGCATCATGCACTCGCTTCAGATCTTGGAGCGTCAGTGATTTAAGGCCGCTGAAAGTCATTCTTGCAAAGCTGTACTCACGAAACAATCTTTTTTTTGCGATTACAAAACAAACTTTTGACAGAGTTCAACTCAAGAATTTGTTTTCAGAGTTCTACCATCCTTTCATTGAAAATGCGCAACGTCCCAGAGTGTTTATACAAGTTGCAATCAGTACAAAATGATCAGCCATATAAACGCGTGCCAACCAAAACTGTCATTCAATTGAAAACAACTAATGAACAATTGCGTGCAGGCTACGGGAGTTCTTTCCAATTCTATCTATCCTTCAGAATCGTCAACGAATCACCACATTATGACAACAAACCTGAACTTCACAAGATTCTCAAGACCAAATTCTGTGATCCGTTTGCAACTTTCAATATGCAACGATTTCAGTATTGTGCCGACTGCGTCGCCCATATATTCAAGACCGTAATCGTGCAAATTATTACATCGAATGAAACGCACCTCTTGAAGGTGCTTCAAACCAACTGAAACGAACTCAATTCGGAAGAATTTAGCAAAACTTAAAGAATAATTCTGTCACTATGAAGTGAGAGCGAACAGGAATGGAATGTAATTATGGATTTTAAAGTGTCATTATACAATGCTTGCAAAGATGAAAATTGCTATAATGGTGACACACTCTTGATCGTGAATTATACGTTGCAATTAAGTAAGTAAGTTTAGTCAACGAACCAAAATGTCGACATCCGTAGCCAGTAACTGACGAATCGGTGGCATCAATGCTGATCACATGCACTTGTTCCGATTCTTTACGAGGATCCAGTTCTGCTGTTTTTTTAATCAACTCGTTATAGTCTACGAATAGCTCATCCAATTTATCGAATCTAATCATCGATTACAATTCATTCATTTCGCACGACACTATCAATAATAAGAATGATAATAACTGTGGCAATTTCATTGAATAGAATAATTTTAAATGAATCATATC